TGAAGTTTTTCAACAGCTAGGTAGGTTTATTCTGGTATTACCCATTTACTCCAAGCCGTTTCACTGCATTTCTTGTAGATTGTCGAGACAGATGATTTTATTCATACATGATTTCAGGAGAGGTCTTCAAGTTCACTCAAACAACAACCACCTACGTTCTTATTAAATGAAGCATGAATAAGAAAATCTCTTATAAGATCTCCATTTTTAATTACATCTGCCCATAATTTGAGTTAACTGCTATGAATTTTAATGTGAATAAAAATGATTTTGTCTCAAATGTAGGTTACATATTGGTTAGTTTTCTGAGTATCAAGATTAAATATTTTTTGGATAATTTTAAAATATTATTTTACACTAATCTACTACATTTAAGATTTTAATCGATTTATCGTTCTTAACTTGGTTATATATATATATATATATTTTGTGGGTAACGAAAAATTCATAAATTCAAAAGAGTTGTTTTTTGTAAGTGTAATATGTGGTACTTTCTAAACTTTGTAAGTACCACATATTAATACTATTCAAGTTCACCAAACTTAATTTATTAATCTCAATAAATTTAGAGTAAGATTTAAATTATTGAAAGAAGGGAAAAAAAATTTTTGAAATAGTCATCTTTTATTTTTATCTAATAAAAAAAAAAAAAAAAAAAACCATTGATGGAATTGGAATGTCAAGAACAAGAAGCAAAGAAGACTGTCCTTCTAATTCAGGAATTCCAAGGGTCCAACCATGTCTATGTCTCTTCTACATATATACATACACATGCACATATATATTCATTACTCACAGGTAGTCATGCATGACTAGACTCGAGATGATGGAAGATGCTGACGTGTTATCCACACTGTTCCTCTTCGCATCCCAACAAGAACACTCCTTTCTCTCCTCTCTTCTCTCTCTCTGCCCGCTCAGTCTTCTTCTGTCCCTGTGACAGCACCTAGGGTTTCTTTTGTCTCACTCTCAAATTCCCATCTCTACTGCTCCAGAACTTGCTAAACCCTGTTTTCCATCAACGCAGGAATTTTAAACATTTTTGTTCCATTCGTCTCTCGTGACACTTCCATTTTCAGCTCACTAATCACTACCTCTCTCTACCTTTAGCTCGAAAATAAAACCTTTTCATGGCAAAAACAAAACCGGGAAAAAAAGACCTTGATTCTTACACCATCAAAGGCACCAACAAAGTTGTTAGACGTACTCTCGATTTCTCTGCTAAACACAGATTCTTTCTTTCTTTTTTCTTTTTCCACTTTCTTTTCCTCTCGGGTTCTCAATTTCTACGCTCTAAAACCCTTAATAGATGCTCAATCTGTCCTCTTTTTACTCTAATTCTCATGGTTTGGATGTTTTGTTTCTTTGGCAGCTGGTGATACTGTGTTGATGAGACCATCAGACTCTGATAAACCCCCTTACGTGGCGCGCGTGGAGAAGATCGAGGCCGATCATCGGAACAATGTGAAGGTTCGCGTTCGGTGGTACTATCGACCCGAGGAGTCGATCGGTGGGAGAAGGCAGTTCCATGGAGCTAAAGAGTTGTTCTTGTCAGACCATTACGATGTGCAAAGTGCGCACACCATTGAAGGTAAGTGCACGGTGCACTCCTTCAAGAACTACACTAAGCTGGAGAATGTTGGTGCTGAGGATTACTTCTGTCGGTTCGAGTATAAGGCTGCTACCGGAGGATTCACACCGGACCGCGTTGCCGTGTAAGTTGCCATTTGAAACTTATTTTCTTACTTGTTTTGGTTGTTAGTTCGTGGATAGTATTGAATTGATGGTTACTTTTTGTCTTTTGAGTTGATTTTGTTGATTGACTTCTTCAATTAATGTCTCTCTGGGTTCGTTTTGAAGGTATTGCAAGTGTGAGATGCCCTATAACCCGGATGATCTCATGGTCCAATGCGAGGGATGCAAGGATTGGTAAGCCTTTTGCATACATTTTCTTGTTGGAATTGCAGTGGGCGATAAGTCTTTTGCATACATTTCTCATATTGGAATTACAGTGGTGGAACCTTTTGCGTATATTTCTTTTTCATTTTGGGACTGTAGTGACGGATGGATGTGAAATTAAAATTTTATCTCTTTTTTTTTTGAAATAAAATTTTAAGAAAATTTTCTCTCTTTTGGGTTGGTCAAATATTGGATTCATTTCTGTTAATGATATTTTTTACAATCGCAGCTACTTGTCTTTTAGATAAATCTGGCTTGGCTTGACTTATGTTATGTAACAATGATTGCCTTGAAATTTAGGTTTTTCTTCTTGAAATAAAAAGTATAATGTGTAATTAAATATAAGCACCAAGGAAGTGCCAAACCATGTACAAAAATATTTACATGTCAATCAGGATATCGATTAGTTCTCCTAAATATTCCATGGAATACAAAGGTTGACTCATAACCAAAAAACCCTGGGTTTGGAGCCATCTCACTCTGATCTTATCGATATACCTTTCTACCCTTCAAATGCTCTCCTATTTCTTTCTTTCCAGACCACCCAAAAAATTGCAAAACGAATGAGACCCAAATATTTTTTCTGACCTCTAATATTTTTCCATGCCCAAATCTCAGTCCTGATAGTACTAACCGTTACCCAAGTGAACCCTAGAAACCTATTTGCCGTAGACCATAAACTATACGCAATAGGGCATCATAGACCATAGACAGTGCCTTGAAATTTAGGTATACTTTGTTGTTGATCTGCACTTGATTTAGTGATTTATAAGAGCCTCTCTGGTGTTTAATCTTAACATTTGGTGTATATATTTAGCATTTCTTTTTATAAATAAAAGCTTAATTACTTTCAGGTTTATAATTCCAATTGAATACTAAAGACAGAGGTAACTGGAAGATTGCTACTGTCTTTATTGTTGTTATATGTATTCAAAAAGAGCAGACTATAGTGTGTTGAAAATGTTTTTTCTTTATAAATTTAATTGCCAACTATTAGGCTTGTAGCATTATGCTTGAAGAATACTATTTTGAGATTCCTCTTAATCAACTTATGCAATATATTCACTTAATGAGTATTAGAAGATGTTTTCTTTTTCTGTGTACTGGAAGATAATCATTTAATTTGTTTGTGTTAACATATTTGATTTAAGTTAGTAGCTATTTTAGCCCAAAAAAAAAAAAAACAGTAACAGTTGATTTGGACAATCTTTTTTTAAATCAAATTTGATTTGGACAATCTTATTTCCTATGTTTTTAGAAAAATAATTTCTAGATAGTTTGGGAACTGAAATTAGATTATATATTAACAGAAAGCAATTGATTTGAAGCAAATATGCAAACATCATTCACTCATAGCATCACTGAAAATAGTGTATAATAGATTAATTGGAGCTCTTTTTGACATGGACTTGACCTTTTTCCTTCCCATATCAAATTCAAAGTTGACTCTAGGGTTTTGACCAATATTTCTGTGCTTTTTTTTTTAACTTCTGAATTTGTTTCTTGCCTGCTTTAATATTTAGGGATTATGTTATCCTCTGAATCTTTTCTCTCCCTACTTCACCCATTATGAAGATATTTTATTGTAACATTTGCCTGTAACATTGAGTCTAGAACTTCTTGTCATCCCATAGTTCTAATAAACTTCATATCATGTTTGTATAGGGGTGGCACCCCCTTGATGTCATATATGTAATATATAAGTTTTTTATTTCAAAAATGAACTTCATATCATCTTTGAATAGAGAATTTTGTAATTATTTTATTTGGAGATATCCAATGGAGCAGAAGCTTTAGATTAAAAACTCTGGGCTATAATTTTTCTTTTGAGAGAAAAAGGAAATATCATTAAGAGACACAAAGGGGATGTGTCCATGATCAATTATGGGCTATAATTTAATCTTATTATCATCTTTTGTACATGGGCAGTGCCCCCTTGGCACCATTAATCAATACAAACTTCTGCACTTTTATTTCAAAAAAAAAAAAAATTAATCTTATGATTAATTTATTTGGAGATATCCAATGGAGCAGAAGCTTTAGATTAAAAACTCTGGGCTATAATTTTTCTTTTGAGAGAAAAAGGAAATATCATTAAGAGACACAAAGGGGATGTGTCCATGATCAATTATGGGCTATAATTTAATCTTATTATCATCTTTTGTACATGGGCAGTGCCCCCTTGGCACCATTAATCAATACAAACTTCTGCACTTTTATTTCAAAAAAAAAAAAAATTAATCTTATTGTCAACTTACTACTACCCAAGGTTAAGTTTGGTTAAATGTTAAAGCTTCGGAACAAAAATTGGAAAAGACACAAATGAGATAAGATTCAACTAAAAATAGCATTTTAATTGTATGGTTAATTCAAGGTTGGTAGATTTGGGATCCCTACCTTAATGAGTGGGAAGAGAAGTATAGAATTCAACATATGGGGTAGAATTTGTTTAATTGTGAATCAAATATGCAAATTGTAGTTAAATCTTCATAAAAAGTAATTAAGATATTGAGATATAGGAGTAAAATGAGAATAGAATAGGATTTGACCAAAGCATGTAACCTTCTACTATGTAATACTCTTAATCAACCATGGATGAGGAGAATCTCTTTGTTTTGTCTTTTACTTTTCTTTGATGCATTAAATTGCAGCAACTGACACCTACTTTTGTTTTATTGTGAAGCATCATGCAGAGGTTGAGAATTGCAGTAAAGCTCTGCTATGTCGAATTTTCATGATTTTTCTTCATGGGCAATCTTAGTTGTAAACTTTTCTCATAAAATGTTAGTCACGCACACAGAATTATCTTCATAAAGCTGTGATTATCTTTGATCAAGCTTCTTGTTGGGTTGCTTTTGTAAAGCTTGTCTCAGAATTGTCTTCATAAAGTTCTGATTATCTTTGATCAAGCCTCTTGTTGGGTTGCTTTTGTGAAAGCTTGTCTCAGAATACTTCATAAAGTTCTGATACTTTGACAAGTCTCTAGTTTG